CAGGGCGAGAGGAGTTGGGCCACATTTGGGCCACACAAAACAGCTAATTTTTCGAAATGTATGCAGGGCTTTTAAGGCAGGATACTTATGTTCAAGATTTGCTCTGTGCATGCTCATAAAACTTATTATGTTCTACTGGTATGCTCAAAATGAAGTGTAATAGGAAGGGAGCAGGGTAAGAGCAGGGGCAGGGAGCAGGGAGAATTCCAGTAGTAGCCAGTGTCACATCCCAATTAGGGTGAAACCCTAGGATAAGGCAAGAAAAGGAAGGCCGAATCAATAATCAATAAAGTAGTAATCCAAAAGCGGACGGTATGCAATAGAAGCATGGAAGCCACATTATAATGTGATCCCATGAGAATAGCGCCTGAGAAGCAGCCAGAGGTTCTGGCTCACATTACAATGTCAGTGCACGGAGATCCCGGCTCACATTGTAATGTTTCTACATGTACGCCTGATGCCCTGACTCCAATGTGTTGCTGAAGACTATGTATTCTTCCAGTGTCAGCAAATCCGTCACGTACACCGCGGTATTGCACGGCTCACAAAACCCCAAACCCGTACCCGTACCCGCGCTGCACCGACCCGTAAAACCAAGGGTTGGCTCATACCGGTGCAAAACACCACTGCAGAGCCTCTCTCTCGATACCTAATGGTTGAAGCAGATCAGTACAAGCGGGAAATATTTGGTCAAAACCAAGGTTGAGACGCCACACCGCTCGTGCCGTCGGAGCTTCAAGTTGCCGCACTGCCGAGTGGCCCAGAAAATGACCCATCACCTTTCTACACGTGCCCCGGCCAGCATTTGGATTTAGATAATCACCGAAAAATGTAAGCCAGACACCGATAGGGTCAGGTCACTCAACTTGTGCGTGTTTGGAACCAAAGATAACTTGCGCGTGTTTGTGGTTTGTCGAAGTTGTGCGCAACCGGGACGCGTCCGACCGAAGTTGCGCGAGTTTTCGCCAAGGACCGTAACGTGTGCGTATGTCGCACAACCATATTTTTTGCACAATATATCGCCCATAAATCACTGCTAAAAGAAACAAGGCACACCGCTGTCTTTAGCATACTATGGATAGCCGCAGCGAATGTTTACGCGCATGCTAAAGGCTTACCGTGGAGCTCTTTGCGACAGAAAAGGGAAGGATGAAAGCGAGACTAAGATGTGGTACGGGTTGGAGCGTTAGGCACCGCAAAAATCTGTCCCATCTACTTCCATTCATAGCATATATTATGATCAGAAAACATCACTTGAGCATCATCACGCAGCCACGCATCTGCCCCTGAAGTGGATGAAATCGCTCGCTGAACAATCCCCTATTGTGCAGCTCCCAAAGAACTCGAAAAAGAACACTAACTCATGATGAGTTATCATACCGTCAGAGTCGATACAAGCAGTATCGTATCTGTAAGCCATTGCACCAAAGTTGTGAACAAGTATCTTATACGAGAGGTAAGACCTCTGAGGAAGACGATGCATCGTGGCAACTACGTGTCTCCAAAACGCGCAACGGGATACTGTCATCCCACGTCCTTCTGAACTTGTGCTCGTCAACCGCTCGAAGATTTATCATCAATCTCGACATGAGGGTGGCCGACAGCCTAACATGGAAGGTCCAATCATAAGCGACTGGTAGCGGCGTTGGGTAGCTATGGGGAGAGCGCATAAGAGGGACGTACACGTTGACCAGGACGGTGTTGGTGGCCTTCAGAAGAGCCTGTCGCATACGACGATGTGAGTCACTTCTAATTTGGAGATGTATGCGGGAGATCGTACGGGTGCTTTCTGTAGACAACAGAAATCAGTCGGACGGGGGCAAAATGAGCAGACAGTGCAGCTTACAATATACATCAAAACGTTGGAGAGATTGGCTAAGAATATGACGCTGTTTCATAAACCTGCATTAGCTAGCGGCTGAGGGAGTAATAAGCAGAGACCGGATGATAGACTCACATGAAATACAGGGCTTGCTCAATTCTCGCTGGTCAATCGTCAGTTCAGTTCAGCTGGGTGAACTCGGCGACGAGCGCGGGTTCCTGAGCGCTTGTCATGTCGTTACATCAGAAATACGCGGCAAACCTTGGGTTAAGGTTCAGAATATATCACTCTGGATGGTTGTGTGATGGTTTTTATCGCCAAATGAAGAAATGGCATTGGCGGAGGTTGTGCTCACCATCCGAGTTCTCACTGGTTTCAAACATTGTGGTATGGCACCGTGGACCTCTCACACAGTGAAAGAGGTTGGGGTCTTGGTCTTGAGGTATTCGCGCCTGAGAGAACGGTACCCGCCTGCCCGTCGAGGGTGCGGATGGTATTCCAAGAGGTACGAAGGTTACAAGTAAGATACCGAGTACATATGAGAGTCCATGAATATATATACGAGATCTGGCTTGTTTGCCAGGAGCAAACAAGCGTGCGTGATAAGATAAGATCGATCGCCCGGCACTTCAAGATTACCTTGCTTGAAAGGTCCTTCCCACCCCCGTAATTGCACAAGCAAACGATCCCCCACGTAAACATGCACAAACAACAGATATGCTGTGGCGCGGTTGCCACACTATGATTGCGTTCTATTTGGCGCTCGTCGAGGTAAATCATGATAAACTGCTGTAAATATTATCCACTCGTTCACTTTCTCTAAAATAGCAACTATGCTCTGTTTTTCATATTGTCAATGTCTTTCCGTGATATTTAGTGTCGGGCAACGAAATTGACATTTTGGGAGATTTTTTGGGAATGACATGCTGCTTCGCTGTTTTGCCGGGCACGTGATCGACGCGACGCACGACACGTCCATTTGTTGATCTCGCTCTCCGTACGCGTGCTCGGAGCCGTCCGCGGCCCCCGCAGTGTTCTGTATATATATCTCTTCTGGCTCCTCCCGCCATCCTTGTCGCTGCTACACCCGCTGCGGGGCTGTTTGAAACGGGCTGCGGCTCTTGCGACCCACCCATATTCCCTCAAGATTACATGCCTTTGGCATGGTCTGTAGCCGCAATCTATTGCCTGTTTCGTATGATCATATGATGAGCATTGGTGCGTTCTTTTCTTTCACTCCGCGCCTTTTCGTGTTGGACCACAATGACGTTGTGTCAATGCTCGAAGGGCTGCGATTCTGCCGTTCATGCCACCACACGACGTCATGGATCCTGGTACTGGACTGTTCTTGCCAAGTGTTCCTCTGTTGCACGCTCCCTTCTTTGCGTGGATTTATGGCTATATGATATGCATGCTTTCACCTCCGATAGATGCAGTTCTGTTATGTCTGACCCTGTCCTTGCACTCGTTTGATATCAACAGGGTGGCCCTTTTTATGTTTTAGTGTTGCCATGCTCTTGGGTTTGATTACATAAGCTCAGAACAAAACCACGCGAGGCGTCCCCGGAACCGTGGGGCCGTCATCTCCCCCACAGTTCCGTACACATTTCATACTCCGCTCAGCAGTCTACGCTGCTCCGTTGTCTCAGCACTTCTCGACGTTCTGGTTATTTTAGTCTGAAACTGTCACACATTCCGTGTGTGATACCACGCTGGCACCGCAGCTTCTGCGCGATGCGCCTTTCTTCACCACATTATCTGCTTTCGCTTATGAACATTACGCTGACATGGTATACTCTTGCAGTGGCCCTTCATCGGTCTCATTCTCTGCACCCCGCCAGCAGAGACCCGTCTCCCTCAGTAAATTCATGTGATCATCTTCATCCACTAGCACCTCGTGCAATTGGTCCATTCTTCCCATTCGATCGTCCTCTTCCCAAATTGGCACCTTGTGCGCCTGCAAGAATTGATCGTCGTCGAAGTCCCGCAATAATCGGACCGTCTCACTATCCGTCACCTGTGTCTGCGGTCCTCATGATTGCATGCATCTGTCTTTGAACGACGAGATGGTATGACGTCGTGTAGTTGCTCGAAGGTCAAGATTTCGGCCATGCGTGCATCCACACGACGTCATCGTGTCCACGCTGCAAAGACTGGAATGCAGCCGTTCGTGGTACACTACGTCATACATGCTCGTAGGCGCTTATTTGTTCGCCTGAACGAGCACCTGAAAAGGGCCTGTACTGCCACCGGAGCAACCGCTCTCACGCGTCTTCCTTGGCAATAGCCGTCGTTCAATACGGAAGTACATGGCACTACACACAATGCGATACAATTCTGGGAGTCTACGTGACTCTGTCCTGCTCACACCAGATCTTGCTAAGTATTTATGAACAGGTAAGGTAGTTAGCACTGACCTATTTACAAACACCTCCTCCCTATATAGGGCGACAGAACCTGTTCATAAACAGGGAGCTCTGTCTATGAATGGGCTCGCTCCTTATGGGGGCCTTTCGGAATGTCATCGGATGCGTCGGATGTCCTATCCACGTTCCGCGCTCCCTCCGATACATTCCGCTCACTGCCTCCAATTTGGGTACGATGTCCGGATCTTGCCGCCATCACCGCGTGACTCGCCCGTTCGCGCCGGTTCCCATCGTTGCTCGTTAGCACGCTTCCCTGCTCGTCCGCGCTTCCCGCCATGACCTCTCTTTGGCTTCCTCGCCGTTGGCGCCGGCGCCGCCGACCTCCTCGCCCCCACCGCCGTTTCTCGTAATCTCTTCGGACCTCGTTCGCGATGCCTGTCGCCCTCTCACCCTCCCGCTTCCCGCCATGACCACTCTCTGGCTTCCTCATCGTTGGACCCGGTGCCACCGACCTCCTCGCCCCCGCCGCCGTTTCTCGTAATATCTTCGGACCTCGCTCGTGATGCCTCTCGCCCTCTCGCCCTCCCGCCCTCTCCTTCTTGTTCGCGCGCTTCGCCGCCGTCCTTGGCACCTCCGACAACGTGCCTTCCGCCACGTCGTTGCTGTCATCAATGTTCTCACACCGGCCTTCTATTCGTTCGCTCCTCACTCAGCCTCGCTTCGTGCTTCTTTTCGTTTTCCCTCGCGTTCTCTCGCAGGCCCAGCAGCCGTTCGACGTCAACGCCGCCGACCCGACTTCCCCAATATCTCACTTTACGGGCCCGATACTCGACGTAGCGGTGTAAACTATTTGTAGTCCTTTTTGTGGTGCGTTTCCTCTTATTGTTGTCCTTTCCCGCATTTTGTATGTATTTTTATCCATCCCTCAGTGCGAACATATACCCCACCATCCCCACCAGATGATGTACCTCCTTTATAAAGGTACCTGCTAGTAAGGATAGGATTCTTTACAAAGGTTCCTCTGGCCCAAGAATTATAAATGCCAGTACTGGGCTGGCTACTGGGGCGGCCGGGGGGTGATTCTGGGTGGCCGGGTGGCCCAGGGTGACGGGGTAGGGTGTTCCGGGGTGGTCCTGGGGGTAGGGTAGGGGGTAGGGGATGAGGTAGGGATGCTGGGGAATGGGTACAGCGGGTAGGTAGGGCGTATACGCTGAAACGGGCAGGGTTATATATGGATAAAATGGGGAATATGGGCAGGGATGATGGCAGGGTGAATAGGGATGGAACGGTGGCCGATAAAAATACGGAAAAATGGTAGAATAATAGTAGGGATGCTAGGGTGGGGGTACTGGATACCCGGGGGTAGATCGGTAGGGGAAACGGGGTGATCTGGGGGTATTTCGGTAACTTTGCGAGTTTTGTGAATTAGGACGAACAGATCGCATTGCCGG